AGATAGCAAGAGATACAAAATCAGTCTTCAACAGAGTATCTATAGGAGACCTATTTTGGGTTGTCTGAGATGCACAACCCAAATATGTGCATCCTCTATACTGAAAACTCATTTGTAGAAAGAATTCTCTTTTAGCTCTTGTTGTTGGAGAAGATGTCGAATAAGTATTGAACATTTTTTTTCTGTAGCGATACTAAAGAACGAATAGATCTTATATTTTAGGTGTTGTTGTTAGAGATAAGCCTTATCTAATCAGATTAGTTTACGAACCCTCTTTATTGGGCGTGACATTCGTGCTGGTCCAGAGGCCTCACACTCACACCCATCCCAGCAGTATCACTGTCCCACTCACGTCAACATACAATAGTATTGCCTGGACCCACCACCGTCCCGTGTGCCGACGTGGTTTTGGCTTCTTCTAGTACGTGTACGGTCTAGGTTGCGTGGACAACGAGCGGTGGAGAATGAAAGCCGCAGCCAATCGTCCTCCGCACGATTAGCGCTGGAAATGGATGTTTAGCTAACCATCTTATCAGTCAAAACTTAAAAACAGATATTTATATTCGCATTTGTTCCTGATATAGAAGCTAAAATAGATGTATCTAAATTTGTTTGCCCTAACTTTTTTCTATCCGATTCCATACGTATTTGAAAAATTATAGAATATCCGACCGCTATCTTTATCCGTCTCGAAGATGCACACAATGAAAATAATAAAAAGTTGTTTTCATGATGAGACTAATGATATCGGTTCTAGTATATATTACTAATAATATATGCTTTGAAACTATTTAAATTATCTGTATGAAAAATGGTAATGACTAATGATATCAAACTTTAATGTTGTTTTGATTTAGCTTCAACCTTATATATTTTTTTCGTTTTAAATTATATTTAAAAAATTATTTTTTGTTATTTATTTGAGGAATACGTTATTTTTCCCGTGTTAGTTACATGTGTTATATAATCAGTGTTGCATAATATTAATATTGTTCTTCAAAGAGAAACACCGATAAAATGATAGATAATCTACTTGAAATTGTCTAAACCTAGTAGATGTTTCAGTGCGAATCCAAACTCAAGATATTTATTGTGTCTTCGTGCGTACTGTGTACTGGGCACGAGCTAAAATAAACACACATCTTGACTCCCGATGAGTCAAATATTTTAAAATTTGACTTAATTATATAAAAAATATATTAATATTTATGATGTATAGTAATTATTATTAGATTGAGCATGCATAGAGTACATTTTTATAATAAACTTATTTGGACATACAAATATTGATATTATTTTTTATATATCTTTAGTTAAACTTAAAAAAAAATGTGACACCTCGACACATAAGATGTACATTTACTTTAGCAGGGAGAGAGTAAGAGCAAGTACAATTATTATTGGGTTTGTTCCATCAGATATAAACTCCCGTTCCTGTTCAACACAGACACTCACAACGCACGCATACTTACCCGTATGAAAGACACGTATGCAACTGGACCTTGTTTTTTTTCCCTCATGTCCTTAAATTTAGTTTTGAGGGCTTCAGTTGGGGGCTGGAGTTGCTCTTAGGATCAACATTTAGTATTTTTATTAATCTTAATAACCACATGCTCCTACTAATTATATCCTTCCAAGTTCTGACTTGCAAGTGCTTGAAGATTTTTATATTGGCAGAGGTGTTTTACTTTGCTCAATTATACTTTAGTCCGATTCCACGGTAGCAGGGTCCCAGTTCTGTACAAACTCGTGAAAATTGAATCACATGATGTTGCAAATAATGGGCCTGTTCGCTAGTTAGTGCTGGTGCTGGTTTGGGCTGACTGGTGCTGATTTTTATTAAAAGAAAAATATTATTGACTAGCTGATTTGGACTAGCTGAAACCAACAAGTGAACAGGTTTAATGATGACATACGACAACTAGTACAGCTTTATCCTACTCGTTCGTCTAAGTGCACGTAGTGAGTTGCTACAAAAAGCGTCTAAGTGCAATGTTTTTACAGTAAAAAAAACTTTACACTATAAATGAAATTTTTGTGAACATGCATGATTTATACTACAAGAAACATTTAAGATCTTGTTTGGATACACTAATATGTATCTCAGTCCATATGTATTTAGGTATATTGCAGTGGAAAGTTAACTATTAATTTTCATCCCAATGTGTACTCCAACACACATTGATCGATGTGAATACGAATGTATATCTAAATAAATAAACCTTAAGCACTATATATTTGGGGGGTTTTCACTCTCTTTTTTTAAAATTTTGATTTAAGCAAAGCAGTAAGAAGTCGTAGAGAAGGCAGTGGCCTACTAACTCCGGAGACTATTCGTTTCAAAAAAAAAAACTCTGGAGACTATATGTTGCCGCTTGTGTTTCCTTATTATATGCTAAACACTGAGTGGTCGGTCACTTTCTGTTTAGCGATTAAACTGTTTAACTTAGATGGTCTAAGCGGTTTTGATATTGTTAATTTGCATACAAACATAATAGTGCTATACTTAGATACTTATAGATTACATAAGGACAACCGATATAGATCGTAGATAGGGGTAGGGACCGTGCCTACGCTGTCCTTTGTGAGACTTAGGCTGGTCGTCGAAGCCCACGAGACTACTCCAACCCGCCACAAGAAGCACATGCATCATGCTAGATGGACCATAGATGACATGCGACAGCTGGCTTTATCGTACGTCTGTCTAGCGTGAGTTGCACACGAGCATACATGTGCATGCCGTGCCGAATAATTTGACATGGGTCCAACTGGCCGGCCCACGCGGGAAACCCAGCAGCGGCGACACCAATTTGCACCGAGGCCCTCTTACTTTAACTTAATCCACCCGCAGGACATTGGCACTATTTATGTAAGTCATGGAAATTACATTGAGAACCCTGAAAAAGCGCCTATTCTAATACTCACCCTTCTCTCCCTCCCAAAAGCAGAGCACCATGGCGGGGACAATCCGACAGTGTTGGCGACGAGGCTCGACGCAGGCAGAGCGTGTGCGGGGAGGCGTCGTGGTTGCACTCACCGGTGATGACCGCCGAAGTGCAGGCTGTGCGCTCGGTGGCGGCGGTGTCGTGCGGGTCGCGGCTTGGCGTGATGGCGTTCCCGGGCGGCGTGCGGGCGAAGGCCACGGTGAAGAGATGGAGCGTGGTCGTGGCGCTGCCACTGAGACGCCATGGTTGCGGCGCAGAGCGAGGTCAAAGCTAAAGGTGCCGGCTTGGGGTCGGTGGGGTGCGACGAGGACGGGTCAGTGGCAAGGCATGGACCGGCTCGGCGAGTAGACCTGGAGTAGGGCGCGTCGGGGTCGGCGGCACGGGGTGATGGGAAGGATGGGCTCACGGCGATTCATGATGAGACTAATGATATCCGTTCTAGTATATATTACTAATAATATATGCTTTGAAACTATTTAAAGTTATCTGTATGAAAAATGGTAATGACTAATGATATCAAACTTTAATGTTGTTTTGATTTAGCTTCAACCTTATATATTTGTTCGTTTTAAATTATATGTGACACCTCGACAAATAAGATGTACATTTACTTTAGCAGGGAGAGAGCAAGAGCCAGTAGAGTACAATTATTATTGGGTTTGTTCCAACAGATATCTAAACTCCCGTTCCTGTCTCACGTCCGCCCGGTCCATTGCCACGTCGATGCGTCCTGTGTGGACCCACCACACACCATCGATCCCGCCCATTGCTGCGTCGATACGTGTACGTGCTTCCTGGACCCACTACCCGTCTTGTCTTGTGCGTGCGCCGACGTGGTTTTGGCATCCGTCTTGTCTTCCGTCGACTGATCGATTCTCCTTCTCCATCCCCGTCGTCGTCGTGCCATCGCGGACATCTCCTCGCTCAGTCGCTCACAGCCACCGCTATCCTCTCAACACCCCACTGGCCACGTGCTTTCGACCCGTTCACCAGGGGCGACTGGTCCAGCGTTGCGGATCTCCTGCTCCATCTAACTAACAGATTCTTTCGGCTTCTGCGTGTCAATGTTTTTGCGCCGACACTTTCTTACTCTGATGTAAGAGCCTATTCCCCTCGACTACAAAAGAGAATGAGCTCTCTCTTAAAAAGCGATCGTATTATTCGGATCTCAATAGCTATAGAACTCTAAAGCTACACAGAGCATACGCTCCAACCCTTAGCATACGTTAGAGCTCCCGTCACTCTCGGCCCTTCGGTCCAGAGTCCGACCAGGCCTTTAACACTCCCTTCTTATTCCTACTATTTCGTAACCCCACAGTAAACTTCGAGCACCTGGGCTCAGGAATAAGTCACCGACCGACCGAAACTGGACGTAGGGCATGTTGCCTGAACCAGTATAAATGCTGTGTCATTGAGTGCTAGGTCATATCCTATGACAACGTACGATAAAATTACAAATATTTACTTGTTGGTTACTTTTCGCACCAACACTTCTCCTACCCAGAGCTAACAGTTCTTTTTACCACGTCAATTTTAATTTCTGATAGTCCGAATCCTCCTTTTATTTATAAAACCGAATATTTAACTCCTCAACATTTAAAAATGTTTGTTTTTAAGAAAATTTTACTATAGGATATCATAGAAACGTGGTATATGCTAATGGACACAGTTAACTCTAGAATTTGCCTAATATTATTAGAAAGAGAGACGAGGTAGTAGGAAAAATGTCTTTTCTACCCTTGTCGTCAAATATCTTTCTTGACCATTTTGATGCTGGAAACTGCACGGTGGAGTCTCTTATTACTAGTGTCAAGACACTTTTTTCTGTCAATACAAAACAACTGGTCCCGTTTCATATATTCATTCTTTCTTTTTTTTTTGCGAATTCATATATTCATTCTTGCAACCATTCCCCTAGGGAAGAAACACACGTACACACCCATTATTCGGTAGATGCACTGACATGCATACATGGCATGTCCACGTTATTCATCATATCATATTTTGTTCAAGTTCCGGAGCACGGAAGGAAGCTTGGCATCAGCGGCTAGCTTATCAGCCGACATGGGGCGCCTCGGCGACGGTGTCGACGAAAATGCGGACGCGGTCGGGGCGATAATCCGCGGTCACAATCGAGCCGACGGGCAGCACGACGATGTCCGCGTCGGGCTTGTCTTGAGGGATCGCCTTCTTGGCTTCCTCCACGCTGAGCCCCACCAACTCCGGCCACGACGTCTTGGCGCCGCCGCACTCCGGTGCCGCCGCCGTGGAGCTCATGGTCGTCTCCGGTCGCGAACTGCGAATAGCTAGATCAGCTGATGATGCTGTGGCCTGCGAATTCAATGGAAACAAACTAAAACTACTACTACTACTACTATATTATTGCAAAAATCGTAAGGTATATAGATAGCACACTCACGGTGTGGTAAAGACGATATATATATGGCTTGTTATGCTGCTTCTTGTACTGCTGCTGGTTAAGAGAGCTATGCATCGGTGATCGAGGTATTTATAGAGAGCTGCTAGCTGCAGGCAGGACGTGTGTACATGTGCAGCCCCGGGGCGTAGGCACCGGTGTGCATAGGAGGAAGACGGAGGCAAAAAAAAAACGATATTATGGACATTTCACATTTGTATGTACCATGAGGAGTTATTTATTTTTATACATGTAAAACAGTGGCGGAGCCAGGATTCTGAAGTTGGGTATTCCCATGTGTGAAAAAAAAATCCAATACATGATAGCTTAGGTTTCAAATATACTAATTCATAGTAGTATTATCACATCACAGAAACAGGTTGTCTGCTCAAGCAATTAAATAAAATAGACATTACTTTACCTCCCTCATGTCATATGGAGAATGCATGGAACTATAACACTAACAGCTGCATTCATAAGAAAGCTTACGGGAAGACCAAACATAAGTAAGTGTTCTTAATAACTTGAACCTATATGTTGCACTGCACATAAGGGCATATAAGCATTGCCATGATTTTTTCGAAGTAAAAACTGATCACAAACCTAGAGTCCTGCCGTCCTGGGACCTGGGCACCTGGCCAGTGGCTGCGGGCTGCGGCGGCTGCCCCTGTTGGCTGGCGCTGCCACGGTGCCTCCTGCAGCCCTGAGCCCCCTGCCGCCCGGCCGCCCCCCTGCCACAGGCTTTTTGCTACCTTGCGCCTTGCAGCTTGCGCTGGCAAGCGCCGTCGCGCTCGCCGCCCGGCCGCAGCCCGCTCCTCGCTGCGCGGCGTCCATCGCGTCTCGTGTCCGTGCGAGCAGAGGCCGAGGGGCGAGGGGGTGTCGGGGGCTCGGGGTGGGTCAGAGGCCAGGAAGGAAGGGGTGGAGTGCCTGAGTGGGCCTAGTGGGCCATCCTGGGAAGGAGGAAGTTTGGAGGCAAGGCCGAAAGGCCGTGTTTTTGACTGATTTGGGCTGCAATGAGCGAAAACAGTACAGAATATTATAATATACATATATATACACACAAGTATATACACATATATACATAAAAGTATCAAAAAAAAATTAGGTATTCTGGGAATACTAGGGAATACCCTTGGATCCGCCCATGATGTAAAACAGAATTGTACCCAACTGACCCTGGACTCTCGAAAATGTTCATAAAGATAAGATATATATGGTGTGTGCCTTTATGGTTATGATTGTGTTTAAAAAATAAATGTATATTAATTTTAATGATATCATGTCTTGGATGATCCAATAAGGTAATATAAGGACACCACACCGGATGCTGCACAGCTGTTGGCTTCTTATTAGCTAACGTGTTGGACATGCAAACAGGATAATAATAATAATCCAACCGATCTAAACAACAAATATATCTCTATGGATATCGCGCGCGGCAGATATAATAACAATATATAGGGGTCACTGTACATGTATATATGTAGCTTCAATAATTCTTTGTTGTTTATCCTTTTCTTCCATAGACGATCGATTGTGTTCAAAGTTTGGAGCTATACATTTTGTGGCAAAGTTTTGGCTATTTGAGACATCAGAAAAGTTTGATGCCATTGAAACTTGCCAAGTTGAACTAGTTATAAGGCCAGTCACCGTGAGAGTTTCACTAGAATTTTATTTGCATTTAATAGCTTACCACATATGCATTTTTGATGACATGGCAACGTTTTAATGAGAGAGAGAAGAATTGGGTTTCATGGGGATGAAACTCTCTTAGCACTGATTACCAACTCTCTATGAGTCATAGAATTAAATGTATATGAAACTATAGAATGAAACTTTCCATTGAGAGTGAAAAATTCATCCAAGTTTTATTTCATTCTATATGATATGACAGTCTTGGAAACAACGAAATGAATCTCTCCACCGAGACGGGCTTAAATAACTATATGTTTTCACTATTCAATTGCTCTCAAACCAAAAAAAAAGAAGTAATAAAAATTGACACAATAAGTAATTACTTCACGCTACTGGTTCCTTATGGTGGAACATGCTCACCCATATCATATGGGTGCTCATATTTTGGATTTATATAAAATGCTTATATAGATATTTTTTGGATTTATATGAAGTCTTTATTATAATTAGCCTACATCAATGACCCAAACTATGAAAAAGTTTAGCTGACTTTGAGACAACACAAGTGTCATGTAATGTTGTAACCACGTGATACTTGATCCAATTTGGTATAACTATGCTGATAAACGTTTTCTTGATAAGCTACACGAATGGAGAAAAAGCACAACCAAAATAGTAAGTTAGTATGACCCAATTTCTATGTTTTTAGTAGAAATAGGTCCTATGATGAGGAAGCGTGGCAAAAAAAAAAAAGCTACAAAAGATGTGTCGTTTGGCTTCTAGTTTCAGCTTATATTTGCTATAAACAGTTTATAATTAAACTATGCTAAACAAGCCCTTTAGTATGAACATAAGTGTATCACTTGATTCTATCTATGACTATGTAAGTGTAGAAAGTATGGAGAGCTGCTGTCAAAATGTGGATGACATGACTCATATATATAACTCCACAAACACCAGCAAAAGTACGAAAAAGATTTATATACAAAAACAAAAGGATAATAGATAACGAGAGTATATACTAGGGACAGTAGTCCATGTCACTTAATCTTTTACTTAGTTTGGTTGATCAATATCGACTAATTATAATAAATAGAGAAAAATAAACATAAAAATGAGTCGATAGAATCAAGATAGAGCATGATTTTTATAGTATCATTTGAACTCTAGATGGAAATCTCCCGCTGCTTTTAATGAAAGAAATTCAAAACAAACAACTGATCCCTCTTTCATATAGGTCTTTCTACTAGACGTTCGGGTGTTCCAAGGACGTCTGTCACCCGAGTGTCAAGTCTCCCTAAAACACGCGATTCCAACGAACAACAATAATCGAGTGTCGGGTCCCATCCAAACACTGGATTTCTATAACCACTCGATCCAGATCTAAAGATTGCAAATAAAATATATCAAGTAAATGCAAAAATTAAATTATAAAATAACAAAAAAAATACCAGATAATTACTATGAAGTGCAAATTGGAAGAAATTAAAAAAAACAAATAAAACATACAAACAACAAATAAAAAATACAGAAAATAACCAGATTATTTCTATAGAAGCCGAATTGGAAGATTTCAAAGGAGAACCAAATCAAACATACAGAAAACAAAAAAAAGGCCAAAAAATGATCAGATAACTGTTCAGGTAATTCCGACCATTCTCATTTACGAATAATCAATTTACACAGCATAGAACTTACACCTAAATAGAAGTAGTAAAATATGATTCATTAAGACGTAATCTGCTCATACTATAGACATAAAACTGCATGCATACAAACGAACATGGTGATGTCATCCACGGGGAAGTGCTGCAATGCGTCATCTTGATTTGGGAGCTCAGTTGAAGCATAGCTACTTCTTAGCTGAAGGGGGCTAACATTGATTTGCATGCTCGATGTTGATGGCGCCTCTAGCTACTCAACTGTAGTGCCACTTGCCGTTTGATTTCCTCTTGCATTCTCGCGTCCATGTTTAGTTCTCGTTCCTACAATCGAAGCACCGCCTCCTTTAACTTACGGATCTGCTCTGCCTCCTCATACTTCCTTCATTGGTGGCTTTCGTAGGTAGTGGCGTCCTCAGGGAAGCCATGCCACCACAAAATCAACCCTTTGCCTCGCGTTCGCCCAGGGTGTTCAGGAGTCTCGAAAGTGTATGTCAGCTCATCCTTCTCTCGGTTGGGCACAAAGGCACCACTTGGCGAAGCATCTACAATATCGATAAGTCTTTGTGTCTTTGTTCGATTTCCCCACCAATAATCGGCTCCCAATTTGTGGGTCCAGTGGTCCCCATGCGCGAAAAACCAATTCTTGGAGCGTTCGGGCCATTCGAGTGAAAATGGATGGATCCCTTTGGCAAGCAGGTCTTCTTTCATTCTTTGCCACTTTGGAATGGCACTCTGTAGCCATCCGATCCCATTTTATGATGGTATACCTTCTATCGTGCATTCTGTTGGTTTCTTCTCACCCGTTCCTCACCCTCTTCCGGGGTCTTGTACCTCACAAATTGAGGGCCGATCGTCCCTCAACTTTTATACGGACTATTTTGGTGAAATATGGAGTTAGATTCTTCTTGACAAATTCATTATATAGCTTCTTCTTCTAGGTTTGAAATTGTGTGACCATCTTATTGAGAGCCCAACTTTTAACTAGTTTGAAATGTGCGGTGATTGAATCTCAAAGAAGGTCCTCTCGCTCGAGAGACAAAAGCGATCAGGAGGATCATCCTTTCTTTTTCCATTCATGAACGCTGATTGGGACCCTATCCCTAACGAGAATCCCATAGTGGTTTACGAACTTCTTTGCATTGTTTTGGGCTGCAGCAGTTCACTAGTATTAGGATTGACTTCTGTGATTATGTAGTGGCCCTCCAACGGTTTTGTCGGGCCTCGAACACTTTTACTACTTTTCGTCGACGTCGTCGATCTGGAGGGCTACGTATGTACAAACACAAAGATTTAGTAATACATATATATATGAATTATTGGAATTATGTTTAATTTCATATATATAAGAGATGCAAGATTGTTAACAAATATACCTCTCCAGCATTTTCTTGCACAGGATTTTCTTGCTCATCTTCAAAATTTATTAAGTATTGAGAGTCATCATCGAAATCCTGCGGGACGACCTTGTTCTGGTTGGGGCCATATTGACTGCCACCATTGATAATGTTCATCATGGCCTCATTCTCGTAGTCTTCTTGCGGGTCGGCCATCTTAATTACCATAACTATATATAAATGAAAACCATATAGTAATCATGCATATGCTAATTAATGGATCGAGCCAGGGACTTAAACTGAAATAACTATAGAATTTAGGGTTATTATTTATGCCGAGCTCTGGTTAGGGTTTGCATGCGTGGAACTCGATCTAGTTAGGGTTAGCGCCTTGGTTAGGGTTTGGAGCAGATTCATGTCACACTAATTATGAAGATTCAAATTCAAATATATATATATATATATATATATATATATAGAATTTAGGGTTATTATTTACGCCTTAATTAGGGTTTGGAGCGGAGCTCGGCCAGGTTAGAGTTTGGAGCGAAGCTCAGGATATTAGGATATATACCAAAAAATTCATAGCACATAAAATCAATCCTTTTAACTATTAAGATTTAAATATATTTCTTCAATATTATTTTCTACAACTATATTGTTTAATTTTCTATCATTTTTCTATATATATATTATAGTACACTACAATATGTCTATCTATTTTTTCTATTTTTTCTATGCCAAAAAAATAATATGCACATCACACACACACACACTCACTTACACACACAGTTTACAGATCATCACTCACACACATGTACAACATGATCATCATGTTATATCACACACATATATACACTATATACTCACCCACTCTGGTAAGGACGAGGAAGGAGAGGATGCCGATGTATGGTGCGCATGGACGACGATGGCGAGGCCGGCGCGGGGTGACGTGAGGCGAGGCTGACGGGTTGACGAGTGAGGACGGCACGAAGACGAGGCAGTGCTCGATCGTGGGAGATGATGCGACGAGGACAATGAGATACTGACGAGGGGACAACAACGAGCGGCGGGCGTGCGTGCGTGCACGTGAAGCTAGGGATGAAGAGCGCGCGTGGCGTGGCGGTGATGGAGGTGATGGCGAGGACGAGGCACTCCGGCGAGGATGAGGATGAGCAAATGCGGCGCGCGCCGGGCCGTC